AAATATTAATAAAAATCAAAACCCTGACCACATGCACACCTTCAATATATGTACAAACAGCCAGCAAAATGAAAACTTCCTAGCATTCAAACTGTAGGAGGAGTTATGTGAAATAACTATATACCCATAACGGGACGGACGGACGGACTAACCGAAGGACGGAAGGTCGGACAGGGGTAAAACACTATGCTCCCCAACTTTTAGTTGCCGGGGCATAAAAATTCAACTCTTAACAAGACTTAACGTTTTTAGGTTCAGACTTTCAGTTGATGTTAAGATCAAAAAGGCCGTTTATCCCTAAGAAAGTTGAGAATATACTTGTATTTCATGATTAAAACTTTAAAGTAAGTTATAGGCAACTGGGATTAGTTTTACTAGATCGTTGGCAATTTAATTTCATATCCACGCCATCTACATGTTATAGGAAATCAATTGGACTGATGATCGATCAAGATTTCTCTATCCGTATACGTTCGTTTCATAAGGCATATTAGGCTCATCGGAATTTCCGGATCTTAATGCTCTTCAGCTTCTTATCTGTTTTGACCTTTCAACTGTTTTAATGCCAGTGCTACTAGGAAGTCTTATGTTGACGAAACATGAGTATGACGTACCAAATAATAAGTCTCAGTCCGTATCCATAAATCGTCTATTTGGATTTCATAAAGAATTTTCTTAGTTGCATGTAAGTAAAATTCGTAAGTCGTATGCATAAAATTACTTAAGCCTTCACTTAATCGAGGAAGCTTTTTTGGGGACATGTATTGGTGAGTGTCATTTAATTTAGAGTATATTTCTGTGGATATCAGACCCTCCGTTATAAATATCTAGAAATAAAATTTGGATTTTTTACAAAGCTTCAAGCATCTCATTTGTTAATTGAATACTGTTAAATGAATGAAACGAAATATGGTGCATATGTTAATTTGACAGCAACCAAACGATAAGAATCAGTACAAATAATTTAAAGGACAAAATATATTCTTTAAAAAACAGACGGATATTCATACAAAATGTTAAACTCTAAATCGCCTCGAGTCAAAAAAAAAGCCATTTGCAAACAATTCTCTAATAAAGAAAAAGATTTAGATATGACATACAACAACTACTGGCGACATTCTTGTTTAGGGACAGACACATGGATTAGAGTATTTATTTTAATCTCACCTCCCCTCCCTCCACCTTGTTTACAATAAGTATGTTATAGTCACGAATGGAAAAAAATATGTCTAAATCTTCGCCGCCTTTATTTTTATCTCCATGTCATCTACAGTACTGTGTAACATTTTTAACATTGTATGTTAATTAGGTTTCCGTTTCCCATTGTTGTATGGCACTTTCTTAATTGTTGCTTATTTTTTGGTTCTTTATATAGACTCATTATTGATCATGCAAGTAGCAAGCCAAAATTAGTTTACATACATAAAAATAAACAAATTAAACGTCACATTTTATATGCAATAGCAGACTGGACGGCGTCAAAGAAAGATTACACAAATGACAAAAGTGATATACACACAGAGGGGTGATATAACATAAATTATTACGACTTAAGTTACTTCACACAGCAGTGAGTTTATATAACACTTTGTTTCAGAGTGTTTTTATTCTGCCAAAACAATATTTCAACAGAAAGGTATTCAGATGTACACGAGTTACAATCAGTTTCAAACTTTACGATGCAATTCAGTCATCAAAGAGACCAAAATATACAAGATCTCGTGAAACAACAATTCCAGATACAATTGCTAGCAAAATACCTATATATCACGTTTATATTTACAAATTGACAATTTTGAGGGGTTGCAATTTCGCCAACTTTCCTTGCATAGGTCTTATTCCTAAGCGAATGTACAACAATTTTTTCAAATATACATTGTATCAAATACAAGAATGGCATACATTGTAAAACCAGAATCAATTTATACCTATCTAGAGAGATTTTTTCAGTCACGACCACTTGAAATTTCTTGACATCGTATCGTATTTAAGAACCTCCATTAATTAAATTCAATGAAAGGACCACAATAAAATACAATCGCATGAAGTCAATAATTCACAAATACTTTTGCAGACAGTATACACATACATACTACATGACAATAATGATTGCTTGATGTTTCACCGAGTTCATGAAACAAGTCTAATTCCTATATTGATATGTAATCAAGTTTTTGTCAATACAATGTATCAACTACATTAATGGATTCATTGTCCGTTCAGAGTCCATTTTAACCTATCTGGTCAAATGTTTCCCAATGACCATTACTTCAAATTATTCTATACAAACAAATGTATCTTTCAAAGTAATGAAACCCGTATGCCAGTCCCACCGGGACCATGTAAATCGGACTGTTTTTCTGAAGTATATTAGGATTTACTGTCAACTTGAAGGATCGAAAAATACTTAAACATTCGAATATCATTATTATCGAATTTCCTACCATACCATGCATACGTGAGATAGTTTTCATGAATATCTTTTTTTTAAAATTGCAAAATACAAAGGCTGCAAAAGTTATATTTTGGCAGGGAAGAAATGTTCACTTTTCCCCAAGGTATTGATTATAAAATGGTACAAAAATTAAAAGATGTAAATTAAATTTTCAAAAGAACTTCTAATCTGGACAATAAACCAGCACTGGAATGGATCAAACATACGATAACATTCGATTATTAATATATTCCTTTCGAAATTCTTGTGTTTTATTTATTATGTTATAAATTCAGTTATTACTTTTAAAACACAAGGTTTCGTCAGGCGTCTTCAATTTTGAGGGTTCAAAATATCGTAACTTGGGCAGGCAACATTACGTTACATATTCCGTTTTAGGATTTGATAAAACATTTTGGCCAAACTAATAATCTATCATTCCCAAATATGTTCCTGAGTACATGTAGTAACGGTGCCTTCGTACCCTTGCGAGGAATAGCTCTCATCTTGATTGCTAAGCAGCTTTATTTCACATCGGTGTATGTCCACTCTTATCCGGTACCACATGGAAAATCAAGTTAGGCTATACCGCTCGGGAACTGCTTACTAAAGTACTATGGACCAAGTAGGTCTGGTAGACAGCATGTGTTAGGACATACTCCTATGGTAGCGTATTTATGTTTAATGATATGCGGCAAGCTCATTCACAATATTTTGATAGCAAATTATGCTTAATCATCTGAGATCACACTATCAATGTATGTTTTGCTGTACATTTTACATGGGTTCTGTGTCAACCGCGGGTGGTATATAATTTGTTTTTGTTTTTTATTTGCAATATCATAGAACTCAGTGAAGTAAATGTCACATTAAAAAAACATAGCCTCATGCATTCACACAGTGCGCCATACGCACTACTAGTGTAGTATATACATGACAGATTTTTCAATGACGCCAGTGAAGTTTTCTGTGACATAACGTTTGCCCAAAAGCCCAAATATTTTGTATATAAAATGATAATGTTACATCATGTTTTATTTCAATACTACAACGACTTATTAGTCCTAAGTATGCGTGAAATACTCCCCGTTGGACGTTGGAAGCAACATTATTCAATAGACGACTTTTAACCGGTATAGTGACTAATATCGTTACTCTGCAGTTAACATGTGGTTATCTGGGGTTGTTATTATAATTATTAAATGATCGGTGGTAAAGAATTATTCTGCTATGCGTTCATATTTGTGTCTTGTGTGTTAAATCACACTAGAAATTATTCAATAAATGGATTTAATCTCAGCATACTGAGGTTAAAGTATTTATATTAGTTTTGGTCTGCAATGACGGTATTCACTCTGTATTGTTTTCCGTCCGAAATGCGTGTTTCATTTTATTATTTACATCTGAAATAAGTTATATAAACTATTTTATCTTATTTTGTATAAAAAAAAATAACCCAAAGGCGGGCTGGGGTATAGAAAAATTACGTCCGACAGCTAAACATCCACTTCACTTTAAGTGCGTTAGATCGGCTTTGTGGGATGAATAAATAAGCATCGCCGTTCGGTCGCAATTGGGATGTTAAATCGTTAAATCAGATGCCTTGTGAAGGGAGAGTAAAACGCTCTCTCCACAATAAATAACATTACAACAACTCTTTCAAGGGTTAATAGGTGGTATGTTGAAAGGAAACGTTTCACTACTGTCTAACAAGTACTTTTTCTGCTTCAATCAATACTCCTGGCCCTCCATCCTGGTCACTCAAATCTGCAGATCTATCTTTTGGATTACTGTTATAAATTTGTTCTACATATGCATGAAATTTTATCAATCGAGATTGAGCAAGCAACAATTAATCAAACCTGTATAAAATGCGACTTTTTTCACCTGTAAATGCTGAACTCTTTAGAGATGACGATTTCAACTTTGAAATTGCCATTCCAAATCCGAATCGCGGTCTATGAACTGCGTTGAGAACTTAACTCTCAAGCCACATTGCGATCTGTGAACCTCCCTGAAGCCATCTTGACTCTCAAGCGTCAAATCATTTACCTCAAAAGAAATAAGGGTAAAGGTTTACCAATCTTCATTGAACAAGTCGTGTTGCTTAAAGCTTAACGAGTTATTTACCTAGTCACTAGAGCATGTCAGAGTATATAATACGTTGACCGAACATTTAAAAATATAGAATTCATTATTTAAACATATCCTATTAACATTAACATACAAAAATAAGTAGCGGAATGAGGAAGTTAGTAGTTACCGCCTACAAGTACACCATTTTAGAAGGGGAAAAGGGGGTCATGCTCCCGCTTAAACGTTTTGCCTGAATATAAACTATCATCTTTCAGTACTTCACTCAACAATTATTTAACACTTTGTTATTTTCAAGATGCAATATATCTATTTGAGAGCTTCGCAAAACATACACTTTAATTTTTAAATTGTATGGTAATTATATTTCACCTTAAACACACCTAAACATAATGCATTGTCGGTATACAATTATATGCTTGACTGCAGGTCAGAGTTATTTAATTTCAAATTTTCAATCACCGGGAAAACGGTCAAATATACTTCCTAGTTATATAATCATTGTTAATTACTGGGACGGTATTCCTGAAGCAAGGTACGTCTTCATTTAGAAAGTAATATTATTAGTTACACAGTGTGCTAGTGACCTAATAAGATATATATAGGGTCAGTAAAGTCCATATGGGGTGAGAGCGAAGAGATATTCTACCATTGCATCGAGTGTGATACGATATTTCTCCGCTCGAGACAACTAAATTTTCATATTTAAATCGCGACGCTTGCCAAGGATTTTTTGTTACAGACAAACAAATGTAAAACAAATCAACTCATTTGACTTTTGATGTCAACAGTCAAGGTCACACGAAAAATATGACCCACCATCTCATGACGATACATCCACATGCTAGAGCTAAGTCCTAGGTCAAAAGAAAAAAAAGTCATGGACCGGGCAAGTGTTTCTTGCTAACAATACATTAAGCTGACCTTGAGGTCAAAGGTCAGGGTCAAACGAAGCACATCATGGTACGATACATAAAGATATATTCACATGTCAAATATCTTATGCCTAGGACTAAAGAAAAAAACGTTATACTTTGAGGTCAAAGTTTAATGTTAGGGAACGACCATTTAACTTCAATAGGGGGAAGGGGAATGGTATTTTCCTATGATCTCTAATTTGATGGAAAAAAAAAACATCCCCTCCCCCACTTGAAGTTAAATGGTTGCTCCCTTACATGAATGTCATCATAGCACATGTACAGGACACACCGCCTCATGATGAAACATCAAAAAGCCAAATATCTAAGGCCTAGGTCAAAAGACAAAAACGTCATGGCCAAGACAACTTTTGAATAACAAGAAAGAAAAAGAGAACGAGAAGAAAAAATGACACTAAAACAATACGTCTCCTATGAACACGTGGTATAGCTCCCTCATATAAACCTTGATTCTTAATTTCCGCAAACCTGATATGTAATTTCTGTGAACAATGTGACAAAAATTTCATGAGACAGACTGACAGACAGACATGGGTAAAACAGTATACCCCTCTTCTTTTAAACGCAGGTATAATAATATTTAAAAGAGTTACCTCCCCCCTCTACATATTATAATAAATGCAATGTAGTGCATCTTTTTGCCTGTCACACTGGACTGACTGTAAGCAAGTTCCATCTCCTGATCATCTTTGTTGTTAACAACTGAAAAATTATACACCAGTAATGTGTAATTATACAGCAACACACTTTTGTAAAAATAGACTTGTACATTTACAGCATTCAAATAAAGGTATATTTCTAGATTTACATAACAGGATTTCAGAGATCATTTCTACCACGATCAGTTCAGATGAATTATCATTAGCAAATTGTGTCATAAATGTTATGCGAGTCTACACAAATGTGTCCATTTAAGCCTCAACATTCAGTATTGACTTGTTTCTACCTATTATTTGAAAAGAAAAACATTATGCTAATGTGATGGCAATGGTCCAATTGAGCTAACTTATCCAGTTGATATTGTGTCAACCCATATGGAGAGGGCTTATATAGGCTATGCCTGTTGCCCAATTCAATTCAATTTATTTGAATAAAATACTGTTTAAACTAAACATTTGCAGATTATCTTGGTAATGCTCTAGTTCTATTCTGTTTTTGGGTCTACCAAATAACTTTTTTACTTCATAAAATGATTTGTAACTTTAGATGAACAAGTTTGTTTTAATGCATAAAGGGTGTGGGTCCTTTAAAGTAAAAGAATGCATTATAGCTCTACCTTACTTTAGGGGACCTATATGTATATTTATTGGCAAGGGGATAACATATTGTACATGTATAGAGGTTATCAAATGAAGGTAATCTGAATTATCAGGTGTGGTAGCTATAAACAGGTTGGGACCAATTTCCCAAATAGGTAATAATATTCCATTCTTGTTATAATATTCAAAATGGGATATAAATTCAGGCAAAATTACTGTGCAAAATTTTTAAAGGGGATTTAAGGGAATTTTTTATAAAAGTGCAAATAAAATTGAGAATGGAAATGGGGAATGTGTCAAAGAGACAACAACCCGACCATAGAACAGACAACAGCAGAAGGTCACCAACATGTCTTCAATGCAGCGAGAAATTCCCGCACCCGGAGGCGTCCTTCAGCTGGCCCCTAAACAAATATATATACTAGTTCAGTGATAATGAACGCCATACTAAACTCCAAATTGTACACAAGAAACTAAAATTAAAAATAATACAAGACTGACAAAGGCTAGAGGCTCCTGACTTGGGACAGCCGCAAAAATGCGGCGGGGTTAAACATGTTTATGAGATCTCAACCCTCCCCCTATACCTCTAGCCAATGTAGAAAAGTAAACGCATAACAATACGCACATTAAAATTCAGTTCAAGAGAAGTCCGAGTCTGATGTCAGAAGATGTAACCAAAGAAAATAAACAAAATGACAATAATACATAAATAACAACAGACTACTAGCAGTTAACTGACATGCCAGCTCCAGACTTCAATTAAACTGATTGAAAGATTATGTCTTCATCATATGAATATCAGGCACAATCCTTCCCGTTAGGGGTTTAGTATCATACCATCATAACATATATGAGAAGAACATAACCCGTGTCATGCCAACAACTGGTTTTTAAATAAATGTGTTTAGTGCCGATGCAAAGACCCTATAAGTGAATCAATATTAACGCCAAAATATGCAATCTTTAATGACCTGACAACAGTATCGTAACTATATCCCTTCTTAATAAGTCTATTTAAAGGTTTTGTTAGCTTCAGAGGTGAATACTGACATTTTTGTGCTTTATAAAGAATATTTCCATAAAAAATTGGATGTGAAATACCTGAACGTATAAGAAGTCTGCATGTTGAGCTATATTTACGAATGATGTCCTTATACCGATGATAAAATTTAGTAAATGTTTTGACTAGTTTGTGATATCGAAAACCCTGGTGTAATAATTTTTCAGTAATACATAAATTTCTCTCGTTAAAATCTAAAACATTGTTACATACACGAGCGAATCAATGATTACTTATAAAGCAACAATATTTGGTTTGCAACTTTTCTGAATACTTGGTATTTTATGAGTTTGGTCCCTTTGAAAATGCTGTTTTCCAAAGGGATCAAACAAGCAACTTGTCCATTTTCTGAAAGAAAAAAAATATATTCAAAAATTGCCTCTATTTATCTAAACAAATGCACTTTTCAATATTTTTGCTAAATTCAAATATTTAGATTTTTAGCACAGGAAACTCATATTCCATTTGGGCTATAATATCCAAAATGGGTTACTGTAACCTGTTTGAGAGATTGGTCCAAACAAGATACAGGGACTGAAGAACAGCAAGTAAATAAATTGGAGAGTCCTCTGTCATGCCTTTTTGACAGTCCCCATTTTTGGAATATATCTTGGAATTAATTTGGTCCTTTGGGACCCGACCAGCTGAGGCATAGAAACTGGTTAAAAATACTTGAAAGACACACAAATCGAATCCCTGAAGGGAAATTGTACTTTTATTGAGTAAAATTGACTTATATCTCACAATTATATACTGTACTTGTACTTTTTTCGCGGGTTCTTATTTTCGCGAATTGTGTATTTCAAACAAGTTCGCGGATATTTATTTTCACGATTTTTTTCCGAAAATAAAATAAAAAAATCGTTTAACAGTTATAATTATTGTCTCGTGTGTCAATATGAACTTCTATTAAAGCAGTATAACACCATATCAAATAAAGTTTTCGGGTAATATCAATCGGTTCTCGGGTCAATATTCAGTTCTTGGGAGTTCTCGGGAAATCATGGTACCGTACAAAAGCTTCATTGTAGTGAATGTGTACATGTATGATGTATACATGTGGTTACACTCACGGGGTTAGTCAGATCTCGAGTTAAAAGCATTCTGTAGGATAACCCCTAAACAATGTTGACTGTTGTACCCCTATTTTTGACATTTTTACCTATTATGTCTGTTTGTTAGCTCACCTGGCCCGAAGGGCCAAGTGAGCTTTTCTCATCACTTGGCGTCCGTCGTCCGTCGTCGTCGTCGTCATCGTCCGTCGTCGTTAGCTTTTTACAAAAATCTCCTCTGAAACCACTAGGCTAAATTTAACCAAACTTGGCCACAATCATCATTAGCTTATCTAGTTTAAAAAATATGTCCGATGACCCCGCCAACCAACCAAGATGGCCGCCATGGCTAAAAATAGAACATAGGGGTAAAATGTAGATTTTGGCTTATATCTCTGAAACCAAAGCATTTAGAGTAAATCTGACAAAGGTAAAACTGATTATCAGGTCAAGATCTATCTGCCCTGAACTGTTCAGACAAATCTGACAACCTGTTGTTGGGTTGCTACCCCTGAATTGGTATTTTTTTGGAAATTTTGCAGTTTTTGGTTATTATCTTGAATATTATTATAGATAGAGATAAACTGTAAACAGCAATAATGTTCAGCAAAGTAAGATCTACAAATAAGTTGTCATGACCAAAATTGTCAGTCGACCCCTTTAGGAGTTATTGCCCTTAATAGTCAATTTTTAACAATTTTTTTGTAAATTTTTGTAATCTTTTACAAAAATCTTCGTCTCTGAAACTACTGAGACAAATTTAACCATACTTGACCATAATCATTATTAGGGTATCTAGTTTAAGAAATTTGTCCGATGACCCCGCCTTTCAACCATCATGGCCGACTTGGTTAAAAATAGAACATAGGGGTAAAATGCAGTTTTTGGTTTATATCTCTGAAACTAAAGCATTTAGAGAAAATCTGACAGGTGGCAAAAATGTTGATCAGATTTAGATTTATCTGCCCTGAAATTTTCAGACGAATCTGACAGCCCGTTGTTGGGTTGCTGCCCCTGAGTTAGTAATTTTACAAAAATTTTGCAGTTTTTTGTTATTATCTTAGATATCATTATAATATCTAATATCTAATACTATTAATTATGAGTTTAACCTTATTTTACATGATTTCCAAAGCATCAGTAAATACAGGTGAGCGACACAGGCTCTTGAGAGCCTCTAGTTTTGTTAGTGAGAGGTTTAGCTAGTTATAAAACCAGGTATA